AAAGAAAGAAAGAAAGAAAGAAAGAAAGAAAGAAAGAAAGAAAGAAAAAATTAATTCAAGGGATATAAAGCTAATAATAATCTTTATCACTTTTCATCTCTTATAGAAACTTTGAAGCCAAATCTTTCTATCCTTGTGCCATCCTTCTTGCAGGATGAACCACTGAAGCATGATATTCCTCTGCTCTGCACCCTTTTCAATGTTAGCCCTAATTCAAATGCTTTCATTTGGAATATTAATGGAAAAAAATATCAGGATAGGATGGATGCTGACATGATAGATGGGAAAGGAGCTTTCAGTATTTGGAGCTTGAAACTGATTCCACCAGAGGATTGGCAGCCTGAAATGTCTTATGGTTGTTCATACCCAGGGGACATGACGATGCTGCAGTCTTCACAACAGGAAGTGTCCTCAAACAGGAAGATTCACAGGTAAAGCAAGGCAAAATAATCCAATCAATTGATTTATCCAGAAATTATAATATAATCATCTCCAACCAGCTGTCCTCCAGTTATGTTGAGCCACATTGTGAAATGGGGCAAAATTCATGTAATAACTGTCTCATTTAGCAACAGATATTTTGGGCTCAATTGTGGTCGTAAGTCGAGGACTACCTGCATTTGTGGGTGAGAAGATACAGTAGGAGACCTCAAAGACATTGCTCTATAAAAAGCCAGAGAACAATAGGTGAAAATGTGGTTGAAGTGAAAAAGCAGATAAGGATTTCTGCAACAAGAGGTTGAGATAGATGATTTGAGAGGAGGGACATGAGAAGGCAAAGGAATGTGAATAGAAGACTAGGACACTAAAGTAGCTCCTAGGAAATTCTTACTAATTTCATTTCTTTCTCAGGACAAAATTAACCTTGGTTTGGAGATCTAATTACAAGCAGGGAGGCCTACACTGATGATCATCCATCAATGGAAAGACTTCAGCTCCATGCATTTTGGCCCAGTGGCTAGTCTAACAGATTGTATTGTTCCCTGCTCTCCATTCACACAGTCCTGATTTCTTTGGGGTTATTCCATATCACCATTCTCTTTTGAATTGCACTGTTGGTTTATTGTTCAGAAGATATATATTTTTAAGTAATGCATTTGACAATAACTTTGCCTTTTAAAAATTATTATTTGATTCTTAAGGTCTTTCTCACACTCATGCTCTTCCCAGAAAATGAGGATAAGTCAGATATTCAGGAATAAGATCCAAAATGTATTTGGCTTACGTGATGGCATTTTGGAAAGTTTATATTGGTAAAGCATTTTGAGATCAAGCAGTGGGATTAGGCTAGAATTAATTTTTAAAAAAGGAAGACTGTATAGAGAGTGAGAATGGAAGACTATAAGGGGAAATATATGCATTACATATGAGCTGGCTATTAGGACATTTATATGTGAATAGATTTCTTCACCCTTAAAAAGCTAGAATGATTGAAGGTAGTTTCCAGACCAGTAATGGCTGGGATAATGGACCAGAAAATATGTTTCTGGAACTAATATCTTCTGTTACTATATTTTCATTTTAGCAATTTTTGTTCTCTTGTTAGAGCTGAACTGTTTTATTTAAATTGCCATGTTAATTAAAAGAGCCTAGGATGTAGAACATTAGAAGCAGTCAGTTAGGATTAAAAATAATAACAGAGAGACCTAAAAAAAACCCTACTCAGGCAGTGTTCCAAACTTAGCCACTCTAGAGTTTCAACCCCAAATAGTTATTTAATGTTGCATCGGTGTAATAGAACACAGCAAAAAAAAAAAAAAAAATTCAAAGTAGCTTTCTGATGCAAAGTTCAAATTGTAGCAAATAAAGAAAGCATAATCATTGGTGAGACTGACCTTGATCTTTCTGGGTTTTTTTTTCTTTAGATCAAAGAAGCAGAACTAAGTTGGAGAAGGTTAAATGTGGCTTAGAAGGATTGAGAGTTTTGTATAATAAATAGAAGATGGAAAGACTCACAAAGAAGAAAGTGAATGACAGAATTTAAAGTTCAACATGAAGAACAGAAGTGCTTATGTTAATATACAACTTTTCCTTCTAGTATATTCCTATGATTTATAATCCATAAGCATATATTATTGACTCAATTGCATTTTCCATAATCCCATGAGAAGAGAAGGCACTGCCTTTACTGTAAAGTAGTTTGAACTTTATTTTAGTAATTATCTGTACGTTGGGTGCCTGCCAGTTTTTATACTATTCAAATGTTCCAAGTATTTCTCCTTTATTATATCCAGAAACAGAGTAACATGGTGGCCTAGAGGTGAAGCTCTTACTCACAATGAGGAGGCTGTGAGTTTTATCCTAGGTAGCAGCAGATATTTCTCTCTTTGGGCTCAATGAGTAATTGTCTGCTGTGAACTCTGCATAGGTGTCAGGAAGGGCATCCAGCCAGTAAACATTCAAGCTCCATTCAGTCGCCCCAACTTTATCCCAATGCAAGGGATTACAAAGTCATTAAAAGAAAACAAAATATCCAGTAATAATAGTATAGAAACTAATACTGTACATAAACACAGCATTATAAAATTAGTTACACAACTACAGTGAACACTTCCTCTGTGCCACTCAAATTAGCTTGCATAAATATCCTTTTATCTTAGCAAAACCCTTAAAAGGTAGCTAGATCTAGGGATAATAGCCTTTCTAGGCCTCTAGCTAGAAATACAGTTCAGAAGAGGTTCTTTCTTTCCTTATTTTAGAAAATAAGGCCTACTTGCATATTGTGACTCAAGATGGCTTATACCAGGGGTGTCAAACTCCCAGCCCATGGCCGGATGTGTTATATGCTGGCCACACCCAGGCCCGGTTTAGTGAAGTATAAAAAAGTTGTGATACGTCACGTGACGCTGCTGTGACGCTGTGAGTTTCACACCCCTGTCTTACACAGATATAAAAACACCACATAAAAGAAATAAAAATAATAAAATAATAACCCCCCACCAGTGGGGGGATTCAAATTGTTTTACCACCGGTTTGATGGGCGTGGCTTGATGGGTGTGCTTTGCCTAACAGCTTTCCCAATACAGCTGAGACCAATCAGCTGAGAGAATAAAGAAGAGAAAAGTGCAGGGCTAATGGGAGGGCCATTTCTCTTCTTTTTCCTCTCAGCTGATTGTCGGAGGATTTTTTTCCTCCTCTCAGCTGATCGTCAGCTTTTTTTTACTACCAGTTCAGCCGAATGGTCCAAAACAGTAGCATACCACCACTGACTCCCACCCAGCCCAGTGGCAACACACATTCATACAAGTTATTTAATGGGCTCCATCCCACTCTGGGTTCCCCAGGCCCGCTGGCAGAGCCACCTCTTCAGTGCCTTCTGAAAGAGTGTTAGAATGGGGGCCAGTCTAATCTGTAGTGGAATGATGGCCCGGGGGGGTGGGGGGCAGATCAGATCATGCAGCTTGTCAATTGTTAATTATTTTTCCTCATGTTCCTGGATCACAGTACATGAATGTTCTGTCTTTGCTTGCAGACAGAATGTTCTGTCTTTGTCTACCATTTCTCCAGCTATCCTAGTATGGCACTTACTTTTTAAAAGTAAGTTCTTTATCTATTTGGAAAGCATTAATCTTAATAGTTGTGAACTATGCCTGAAGATCCATCCTTTTGCCAAGTTATTTTTTCTTTCAGTGTTTATATGAATATTTGTGTATGCCCCCTGTGATTAAATTATACTGCAAATGTTCCAGATTTTGCATTTTACTTTTATGCTTATGAAATCATGTTTCATTAAAATGTATGTACATTACTTTCAGTATGGGATAAGAAAATGTACACAAACAGAGAGAGGGAAGGAGGGAGGAGGGGAGGGAGGGAGGGAGAGGAAGAGAGAGAAATTCATAAGAATTATTTGGTGAACTGAATGAGAACTAAGAGGCATCATCTTCCAAGAGTCACACAGTTCTTATCTAAGAGCTAGGAAAATAGTCTTCTTGCCATGATATGCAAATATATGCCAGTTCTGTCAAGGTAAAACTCAAACAAAGGAAAAGTTTAGTTGAATTGGTGTAATCCCAAATCAAATGTTCCATGTCAATTTAACATTGGGCATCTTCTTTAAATAGTTTAGAATTTGATCCACGTCTAATCAAATTTGAGTTAGAAACATGATCAGATTTGCACATGGAAACTTATCTACACCACATCTCAGCACTAAGACTTGAAGCTAGAAAGCTGTGAGCGCAATAAGAATCTATCCAAGAACAGGTTTTACTTATTCTCTTTCCAGATGCAGAGTGAGGATATAAGAGTCTTTTGGATTAGATCATGGAAGTGGACAGTTCCACAAACAAAGCCTCTTCTGCAAGGACAGAAATGAGTTGAATGGATATTTAGGAGAGAAAAAATAAGAGACTTATCTCTCCTATAACTAAGGACGTTACATAGCTTAAGCACTTATCCTCTGTGATAAAAGAGAAGATGGGTACAGCTGGATCACTTAACATAGTGCTTGTCTTCCCAAAGGTGTTGGGAATCTGAGCTGACTTTGGAATGTGAGTACTTTGTACCCTCTTCCTATTTTCCTCAGCCTTATGCTTTGTTCTCACAAAGCATTTCCCAGAAGTAAGGCACTGATAAGCCCCAATGATCTATTTTGGTATGCAGCTGATACCGAAATAGAAAAGCAAATTCTGTGACATGTTTTTCTCTTACTCCCAAAAGGCAGAGAGTCTGGAATGTGAGAATTTATTTCCAGCAGGGCTTAGATAACAGTAGAGTCCATATTTGTTTGCAACAGTCTTCATGCTTTAGGCCAAAACACACATTAAAAGGAATACTTCAGAACTAGAGTGTGACATAGTCAGTTTGCCATCACAGTTTCCTTTCAATCCAGAGGACTTCTTTTATGTCAAACCAGGTTTCCAGGAAATGACATGTTCTATTGATTTGTTATTTTATTATTTATTATTATTATTTATTATTTGATGTGATAATCAAATCTGTAGGGCTGCTCTATAATAAAATAGATGTATAAAACAGTAATTACCTAAAACATATATGACACACACACACACACACACACACACATATATATACATACATACATACATACACAAACATATGCATGCGCACACGCGCGCGCACACACACACACACACACACACACACACACACATTGTTATCATCCTTTTGTGGGGTCAAGCTAATTTCTTTGTGTTATTCCAATTTTAATGTAGGTGCTGCCAACATTTTCTTATTTTTTAAAATAGCATAATCAAAAGCAATATATAGAGATGCATGTACAATGTGGATTGCATGCAGCATTTGTTATGAGATTATGATTTGTCTTTTATAATTACTTTATTGAAATTTTTAAATAAAGAAATAAATAAAAATACTTATTTTTAAAATAAAGAGAAAAAGAGGCATTTAAAAGATCTTATCTTCTATAGAATATCCATGGAATATCCATGATTTTCTTTTATGTGCTGGAAAATTAGCTGTAATTCTTAATTTTTGCCAGTACAATAGAAACCAAGCAATAGTCTGCCTAAACATAAGAAAGCATTGGAACAATAAGGTCGGTTCTTATCAGTGGTGGGATTCAAATTTTTTTACTACTGGTTCTGTGGGCGTGGCTTGGTGGGCATGGGAGGGGAAGGATACTGTAAAATCTCCAGTCAGAGGTGGTATTTGCTGTTTCTCCGGACTACTCAAAATTTCCACTACCGGTTCTCCAGAACTGGTCAGAACCTGATGAATACCACCTCTGGTTCTTATGCACCTATTATATACGTAAAAATATTTTAATTTTAATTTTTATATTTCAGTGGCAGTTTTCCAGGGGTAAAATGGCAATAAATGCACTGCAGCACATCAAGCTATCATTCTAACTCATTCATCCTTGTCTTCTGACAAAAACTGTAATGGAATTAACTAACCGATTACTCATGAGGAATGTCCATCAGCTAGCACTTCATGACACTGAGTCTTGACAATATATGAAAAATGCTTGGGAAAAATAAGTACAAAGTCTTCAAATAAGCTAGTAGGATCTTGGATTAAGAAATGAGACAGAGAGAATGCAAAGAGCTGTGGAATTGCCGACTTAAAGAGCTCAGTGTGCAATATTATGAGAATAGGCTTGTATGGACTTATTTATATGGTTGCCTCTGGTGAGGATAAATGACCTTTGGATGACCAGCTTTAGAACTAAACTAGAATACAGTTCTTAGGTGTTTTTTTTTAAATTATCAATATAAAGTGACTGATAAAGAAAGCTTTGAGAGAAGTCAGGTTTCAGATCGTGAGTTATAGAAATCAGTTTAGACTGTAATGCACTCGTCTGAATATTCATTATTGACCATCCCCCTTGAATTCAATAGATACAAGATTTCAAATTGCCATTTTAATGTAGATTACACAATATTAAATGAATAAAAGAAGTCAATTTTGAATATAAAAACTCTAATAGAATCTTTGTGAATATTGGAATTCCATTAATGGATTGAGAAGGAGAGTTGTTTCAAGCATAAAGAATGCTTTGTCATTTTAGAAAGAAACATTTTTCTTTGATTTTTCAGAGGTAGAAAATGTAAAAGTAAAACCAAGTTCAGTTTTGTCTGAAAGAAACCTGCCATTTTTCATTTTCTTCTTCTTCTAGACTGATTATTCAGAATTCAGTCACAGAAATTGAAGTATAATACAAAAGAAATGGCTATGTTAAATATCTCTGTTCCTGTTATAAGATCAACAATCATAGGGAAGAAAATATATTTCAATTTGTTAAGATGATCTACATTGGGTTGTTAATTCTAAATCTTTGCTTAATACATAAAACTTAGTGCATTAATGTGACTCTATGCTCTTTTTTTAAAAAAATTCTTCCTCTGGAGGCCTGAATGTGACCAAATGGAGTGAAAAAGGAGTGTGGAAAATTCACATCAGACCCAGCTGAGAACACTGAGTCTTAAACATTAAAGGAAAATAACAGAAAATTATGTAGAAAGAAATATAACTATGGGGTTGAGAAAAAATATTTGTAAATTGTCTGAAAATCCAGGGGAATCTAATTGATTTCCCCATTCAAAGAGAAAAAAATGCATAATCAGGCAGATGTTTGGGGAAGGCTAGCTGTCAACCTTGAAGCAAAACCTTTGGGAAAATACTGGGAAAAGAGGAGGACAAAATGTAACCAGGTCTGGAGTAAGAGCTGCTACTCAGAAGAGTTTTTAAAAGTGTATGAATCCAGGTTTTTATTTTATTTTTCCAAAGATAGTGGACTAAAGACTTCTCAGAATTGTTTTTTAAAGTTAAAGGAAAATTAGAGTGGGAAGGAGAGTCCCTTTTGCCCTTTAAAACACCCCTCACGCCATGATTTATGCAGGAAAATACTGGCAATTTATGACCTGATTTTAGTACACGGATGAGAGAGAATGACATTTGTTTCCAGACTGATATTCTAATTCCAGTTAGGGATTGCTGAGAGTCAGCACCATGGAGAACACCCTCAATTCAAGTTTACACTTCCAAAATAGGAATTGTCTAACAAATTACCTGGTATAAACTCATAAATTATGTCTCTTAAAAACACCTTTGAATTCCTCTACAACATCTAATGGATCATTAGATAATTTATATTCAAAGTGACATCGTGCTTTTTTTCCTTGAGGCTGATTTTTGATAACTCACTCTTAGATTTTATCCATAGTAAATCATCTGAGGATTAAATGAAAACTAATACGTCCATAGACATAACTTTGGTTTTACTAGGAAAATAAATGAAACAAGAAAATAA